GAATGGTGAGAACCCAGGAGGCGGAGCTTGCAGTGAGCCGAGATCATGCCACTGCACTCCAGCCTGGGCGACAGAGTGAGACTCTGTCTCAAAATAAAGAAAGAGAAGTTATTATTTATTCCTAATTAGACGGGGAAGAAAGTCGTTGAAGAGGAACCTCTATTTCACTTTTTACAAATTCCACTGAGCTCTGCTTCCTACCAACCTCAAGTCTCTGCCCTAAACTCTGAGGAACCTTCCAGGTTCATCTCCCTGGTCCCACTGCGTCCAAGACTCTATTTATTAACCACCATTTACAAGCATTTCTCTCTCACTGTGGACCCCACATCAGTTCCAGCCTGGACAAAACTCATTCCCAATCTTTGTGACCAAAGTTGTACTGAACTTTTATCTTCCCTTTCAGAAATTACCTATTATATTTTTACTAAATACTTACTCCAGCCTTGCCTTTACAGACACTGATCTCTGTCTTTTTCTGTGCATGTGCCTCTGCAAAATGTGCATTTGCAGATGTTCCAGTATTCCAGAGCTTAGTCTATGGGTCTCTTCTCTTCTATGATTATATTTGCTCTTAGAGATCTCACCTAAGCTCGTGGCTTTTTTCTTTCCTCTTTTTCGATGAAGTTTCCCTTGTGTTGCCCAGGCTGGAGTTCAATGACACAGTCTCGGCTCACTGCAATCACCATCTCTCAGGTTCAAGCAATTCTCCTGCCTCAGCCTCCCAAGTAGCTGGGATTACAGGCATGCGCCACCACGCCTGGCTAATTTTGTTTGTTTGTTTGTTTTTTTTTTTTTTCAGACAGTTTCACTCTTGTCACCCAGGCTGGAGTGCAATGGCATGATCTCAACTCACTGCAACCTCTGCCTCCTGAGTTCAAGCGATTCTTCTGCCTCAGCCTCCCGAGTAGCTGGGATTACAGGCGCCCACCACCAGGCCCAGCTAATTTTTGTATTTTTAGTAGAGACGGGGTTTCACCATGTTGGCCAGGCTGGTCTTGAACTTCTGACCTCAGGTGATCTGCCCGCCTTGGCCTCCTAAAATGCTGGGATTACACGTGTGAGCCACTGCACCCAGCCTGTTTTTAATTTTTTTGTAGAGACAAGGTCTCACTCTGTTGCCCAGACTGGTCTTGAACTCCTAGCTTCAAGTAATACCACCTCAGCCTCCCAAAGTGCTAGGATAACAGGTGTGAGCCACTGTGCCCGGTCTCCAACTATGGCTTTTTTTGTTTTTTTTTGGTTTTTTTGTTTGTTTGTTTTTGTTTTTCTGAGACAGAGTCTTGCTCAGTTGCCCAGGCTGGAATACAGTGGCGCAATCTCTGCTCACTGCAACCTCTGCCTCCCGGAGTCAAGCGATTCTCCTACCTCAGCCTCAGGAGTAACTGGGATTACAGGCATGTGCCACCATGCCATACTAATTGTATTTTCAGTAGAGGCAGCGTTTCACCATGTTGGCCAGGCTAGTCTTGAACTCCTGACCTCATGGTCTGCCTGCCTCGGCCTCCCAAAGTCCTGGGATTACAGGCATGAGCCACAATCATGGTTTTAAATAACATCCATATCATGAGAACTCCCATATCTCTAGTCCTTCTCACTCTATTCCCCAACTCCATTGATTCATATCTCCACAATCTTCATCTGTATATCTAACTGGCATCTATTTACCACATCCAAAACTAATTTTTTTAATTAAAAAAAAATTTTTTTTGAGACAGTGTCTTGCTCTGTCACCCAGGCTGGAGTGCAGTGGCGAGATCACGGCTCACTGCAGACTCCTCCTCCTGGTGCCCGTGATTCTCCCATGTCAGCCTCCCGAGTAGCTGGGACTACAGGCAGGCGCCATCAAGCCTGGCTAATTTTTGTACTTTTTGTAGAGACAGT